AACTCTTATACAATTTTTAGTTCACTTGTCTTCCACCTCATGTAATCACCATATACTTCTCTGGCCTATGATTCATATTCTGATTTGGACAACCAAGAAACATTAAAAACAATTTTCTACGCCACCACACTCAAAGTTGATGAAAACTGGAATTCAAGGAATTTTACAGGACTTGCCCTAAAATTCAAGGACGTTTAAGACTGTGCGAACGAAATGCTAACAATCATTCAACTTTTACTAGAAAATTCAAAAGAAAACCCTGTTCCACTTCCTAACATACTTCCTTAAATATCCCAGGTGCTTTCACTAGAAATATTCTTACAGGAATAAAGCCTAGAAAATGTCCAGCAAAAGGTTGAAAAAAGGAGAGGAAATTGTATGAAAGATAAAAGTCAAGGGTTCNAGTTGATGAAAACTGGAATTCAAGGAATTTTACAGGACTTGCCCTAAAATTCAAGGACGTTTAAGACTGTGCGAACGAAATGCTAACAATCATTCAACTTTTACTAGAAAATTCAAAAGAAAACCCTGTTCCACTTCCTAACATACTTCCTTAAATATCCCAGGTGCTTTCACTAGAAATATTCTTACAGGAATAAAGCCTAGAAAATGTCCAGCAAAAGGTTGAAAAAAGGAGAGGAAATTGTATGAAAGATAAAAGTCAAGGGTTCACTCTCAATTTTGTGTCCAATACTACATTTTGCCCTGCCAACAATGCATTTAACTTCCTCTTTTTTGCCACCTGGTGACCAGAAAACAGCTTGACTATTTTCAAATAGTATCTTTTTGCTTACATTTTCTAGAAGCAAAAGGCATTTATAAGTAAGACATGTACCCATTTTCCAGGCTACCAACATGATGGAAAATTTAACACTTTCTTTTTAAAAGAAACCCTTCTCATTTTCTTTTACTCTTCAAGTCAGCCAGTCAATAACCACTTTCAACCATTTTTAAAAGAAAAAAGCAGCCTCGGGATACTGCTAACTGAAAAGCATCTCCCAAAATTTAAAACTGTACATTCAAAGGATTACCTTGGCTGGTTGTGCAGTCGATGGCAAAGCAGGAGCTGCAGAAATAGCAGGGGTAGGTAGTGCAGTTGTTGCATCTACTGAAGTTGGAAGTCCTGTTGTAGCCACAACAGACACTGGCGTTGTGGGATATGGCAAACTTGTCATGGGAGTACTATCTGGAGCAACTTAAATAGCAAAAAGGGAAACAAAATAAAATATTTTAACAGTTTTCAGATTGAAATACGTTTAATGCACTACCAGGCAATTTAATATGTCAGTCACCTCAATGTACAGGGTTCGTACAAATTTTTGAATGCAAAATTTAAGACTTTTTCCAATTACAATTACAATTTTACCAATTACAATTTCTTTTGCCACACTCGAGGTTATCAAATAAGCAAGAGACAGAAACCTCAACAAACACAGGAATTAAGGTTTTCCCAGGATGGCTTGTAAACGTAACGGAAGAGGAATGCCGACATAAGAGAGTTCTGAATCTTGTGATTTTGTAACTTAATGTTTAGCAATTAGAAAAGTGTGGCTGTTTTGAAAAAGAACACAAAAAATCCAAACCATTTACCATTTTTTATAAAACTTGTCTTTATTTTCCAGACTTTTTTTCCAGCTCTGGAATACTGGTTTGCAAATTTGAATACTTTTAAAGAATTCAAGATATGAACTCTCGATGTAAGCAGTTGACAAGTGAGATTATTACTTGGCAATAAGCAATTTGCACAATGATGTCATTTTATTATTAAGACCAGGAACCTTTAGGGTTTTGCTTTCTTGTGCAATTTAGGACTTCTGTTAATTGAACCCTGGTGGGATTACCAAATTCAAATATGACAAGAAAAACAAAAAGAATTCTGGTCATAGTAGTAAAATGATGCCACTGTGCAAATGGCTTACTTTTGACATACTTACCTGGAGGTTGCTCTATTTTGACAGCAGATACAGCCCCTCTCTTAGCTCTTTTAGCAGCTGGCCCACCAGGCTCTGCCTTCTTTTTAGGTCCTAATATCGTTTCATACTCCTACCAAACACAACAGCAACAAAAACAACATCAACATCAACTTGGCCTTTTTATACACCTTCATAAAACCAACACAAATGTTTTCCACATTGCTCTCCAGTCATTTTTTATAGCATAACTAAGAAGAGTACATGTTTGTTGACATGCAAAGATGTTTTCTCTATAAAGATCATTTTCTTTACTCTTGTTCTATCAAAGCCGATTTAAACGATATGATTTTTGCTTACGACTATCGTGCGCGACTAGCATGCGTCATGACTTCACAACATATCATGTCATATAAATTAGACCCACGGCATTAGTACAATACATTGTGGATGTCGTAAGTGAAAATTGTACATGTGTGGATGGTTAAAAGACTCAACGTATGCTAGTCGCACATGATAGTCATAAGCAAACATCATACCATCTAAATGGACCTTTACCTTTAACTATGGAGTGATAATTGAAAGGAAAATTAACATGCACATCAATATTTGGAAGGGAAGTTAAGTGTTCTCTAAGAAAGATTATATTTCTCAGAAGCGCTTATGTATTTATGGAGCTTAAAATTCTAAACCTATGAAATTAAGGGTGACAAGCATGTGAGCTTTGTGCAAAAAGACTAGGCTTCTGTAATCACTGAAGGAGAAAAGTAAGTCACAAGGAGCTCCAGGGAAGGCTGCATTGCTGCTCCAGGTAAGCAAATGACGCATGACTGCATGACTTAGTTTTAGGGCAATATATGATGGGTCCTGCTTGTGGGCACCAGTTCCAAAGCTCACAAATACACCTTTTTACCTTGTATGTGTTGTTTTTCCAAGGAATTTGCCTTTCACCTTTTCATTAAGTATGCATACATGGACACATGGAAGCAAGTGCGTAAGACAAAATTTGAAGAAAAAAAANCGACTAGCATGCGTCATGACTTCACAACATATCATGTCATATAAATTAGACCCACGGCATTAGTACAATACATTGTGGATGTCGTAAGTGAAAATTGTACATGTGTGGATGGTTAAAAGACTCAACGTATGCTAGTCGCACATGATAGTCATAAGCAAACATCATACCATCTAAATGGACCTTTACCTTTAACTATGGAGTGATAATTGAAAGGAAAATTAACATGCACATCAATATTTGGAAGGGAAGTTAAGTGTTCTCTAAGAAAGATTATATTTCTCAGAAGCGCTTATGTATTTATGGGGCTTAAAATTCTAAACCTATGAAATTAAGGGTGACAAGCATGTGAGCTTTGTGCAAAAAGACTAGGCTTCTGTAATCACTGAAGGAGAAAAGTAAGTCACAAGGAGCTCCAGGGAAGGCTGCATTGCTGCTCCAGGTAAGCAAATGACGCATGACTGCATGACTTAGTTTTAGGGCAATATATGATGGGTCCTGCTTGTGGGCACCAGTTCCAAAGCTCACAAATACACCTTTTTACCTTGTATGTGTTGTTTTTCCAAGGAATTTGCCTTTCACCTTTTCATTAAGTATGCATACATGGACACATGGAAGCACGTGCGTAAGACAAAATTTGAAGAAAAAAAAACAGTTCTCTGGGGTACCATCACATGGTCTGCAATGGGAAAACTCCACTTACAAGCTAAAAACGTCTATTAGAATAGGCCATGTGTTATATATTATTCAAACAAGAACTGCAGATAAAAGAAACTGGACGTCTACAACATGCATTTTTCCATTAAGAATTACACTTCCACAACTCATCCCACAAACAGTGAATTTTTATACTTTATTAATAAATTGTATTCTTTAGTTACCTCAGGAGGCATGGTAGCAAGTTTCTGATTAAACACCTTCTCCATTGCCTGGCACATGAGAACAACATCCTGTGACAAAAGACATTGACCGTTTTAGAACTCAATAATCAACTCAGGTGGGTCTCGACAAATCAAGAGAAACCTTTCTCTTTTAAACCAAAGATCTCTCTGGATCAGTAGATGCCCTCTGATGCTTTCTCATTCACTTACTGCACAAATTATCACCTAATTCGTGGTCATTTTAGGCACCATGACAACACAGAAAGCCAAATTTAAAAACACAAAGACTGGGTTTGACAAAGGACTAGCATTTAACCTTTTATGGTAGTAAGATTATTTTACCAGCTCAGTTGATCAACACTTTCACTACCCCACGGACACAGCAGTATATTATTGGAAACAAACCTATTCAAATTTGAAAACAAGCACACACATGCTGTTTACCACTTACATACATCTACATGGAGTTACTAGAAACATAAGCCAGGATTTCAGCAAAAGTATTTCCGTATGCTTTGATACATAATTTTCACACCAGTTTTTACTATTAGTTGTTTTTGCTTTATGCATATAATGAGTGGAACACACATAGGCCACTGTAAAAAATATCATAATATTCTCAAATTGCTGTTTGGATAGAACTTCATGTAACCTGATGTTCACAATACATTTTGGCTTTGCACAAACTGCATGTGGAATGGCCTACTGGCAAATGGTAATCTATAACATGTAATTATTACGGCCGTTTTCTGTTCCAAAGGCACAATAGAATTCAGAGTCCGTTTAGGAGGCTTGCACTAGCTGTAGGTTTATCTCTGATATAAGAGTCCTTCTAACTCACAGGGTTCTCAATAGGATTTGAAGTAGGCTTCTGGCCAACCTTAAGGAGGTGGCTGTGACAAAGGGAGGGGTCTGAGGCTTGTTCACAAAGAAAATTTGGAAACATGGAATAACTACACACCACATTTGGTCAACGTGTTTGAAAAACTTTTATCACAGGCAAAAACTTTCCACTTGAGGTCTAAGTAATGGAAAACTGTGTAATTGTGTTATTCTCATGCTTAGAGAAATTATTCCTTTTACAAATTCAATAATGTATTCTTTGCGATGCCATGTGTCTCTTAGTAATGAACCAAAGTAAAACTTGAACATTGGTGCAGTGCAACAGCGTGTAATGAAATGAGATTGAAGTTAGTTACATTCAGGGTCTGAATGGAAGTCAGTATCACATTCACTGTCTTCCTGGCATTTCGATAGTCCCAATGCCAATAAAACATCAATACTTGTATCCACGGCATCAGGGAACAAATCAAGACAAAATAATAGAATCTGAATGCTCCATAGTGTTCTCATAAGCATCTGTCTGACAAGCTGAACCAACGCACCGAAAATAGCTCTGCCAAAGCTGTTAATTCAGTTTCCTTTGAAACTTTAGGAGGGAGTTTCCTTCTGTTTCTCTTCTCACTCCAGAGAGCAATAGCTGATACAAATAATTTGTTACATTCAGGAGAATCAAGCATGGGGCCATTGATTGTAATGGCAGCTATTATCACTTCAAAGTGTGTAGGACTACAGATGTAGTGCTGATGAAGGGCTGGGCCAAAGTGAATGTCATATATCCAGATGTTTACGTGGCTGAAAGAATGGCGGTTGTCAAGTAGGGAAGCAAAAGCAAATTTACTTCTTTGTTCTCAAATGTTTCGATTATTTTGTATAATATACATGTATGACAAGGACAACTCAAAATCAGATGAAAGGGATAGGTAGAAGACTTGGCCTCAAACGAAGAAGAGAAAAGCAGCAAATAGAATGCAAAGTAAGCGGCTACAAATTCCAAAGTAGGTGGTAATCAATCGCCGGGTGCCAGCTTCTATCGCGAACCCTGAACTCACTTCTCTGGTTGACAAACTCCTGGACGCATTAAGAAAAGACAAAGGTACTAAACTACACGTCACCCAAAATGAATGTAGTACAACTGAGTTTGCATGCAAATATGCTGAGTATGGAAATTTTTGACAAACTGACGTAAATTGTGCACAAAAGATAATGCCAAAGTAAGGTTCACGTGAAGCTCTACCCAAACGGCAATTAAGAAAGTTAATGGTATTTTCTGAAATGGCCTATTGGTAGTGGGTTGTCATGTTGTTGCTTTCCATTACAGGAGTTTTCTGATGATGAACAATTCCTTAGAATTTCCTTAAAATGTTCAGTTCATTATTCAAAAAGGGAAAAGTGATTTCAATACTTTTAAAATAACTGAGACAGCATCTCAAAATATGAACAAGCTACCGCAAAGAGTGTTGTTACATTGGACACTCATGACTACAATTTCTTGCTTTGCAACAAATTGTATAAGCTGAAAGTTGCATGTAAGTGTCATTAGTCTTTGTTACAAAAGAGACATATGCCAGTACATATTTTAAAGAACAAACTCGGCAAATCAAACAAACTCAATATCAACTTAAACACACTGGTTAACATTTCAAAGGAAAATTTTAAAATACTCTCTCCAAGCAGGAATTACTATCATGAGACTATATCAATAAAACTGAGGCATTATTCATTTATATATTCTGTTGTCTTTGCAATAAGACTCCTCTCCACACCCCACCCCTGTAATGAACTAAAAATATTATTGGATCATTTTACGTTTCTGAGAAACTGCCCACCTATCTTATTCTACACTAGCAACAGTAGTTATCTCAGTTTTACCATCCATACAGCATAGCAATTTGTTTTCAGATGAAAATATTTACTACTTTATGAGGATGCAAAGCTGCTGCCTAAGAAATTTTTTTGGGAGCCCCTTGGGCCCCTAAAATCGAAAGTTAGGAGCCCAAGCCACATTTCTAGGATCCCATTGACAGGTAAACTTAAATAAGTAAAAGATGCTAGAAACTTGATTCACGCATCTTGAAACTCTATTCGTTTGAGTTTCGAATTTACCGAAAAGTGCTTGTTTGTGTTCTTTTATCAGCAGAAATTTTTTGCCCACAGTCGACAACAAGTGTATTACGTTTTCATCTCAAAAGCACAAAATAAGCAGGGAATTCCATTGTTCGTTTATTGGACGTAGGCATAGAGGCTATTGCCACAAGAATCATAAGTTTTAGGTGCCCGTGTGGGATGATTGTTTGGCTGGTATCGATAGTGAACTTTAAATGAGGCCCTCTTAGGGGGGGTACACATGTCTCTAGTCTGAATTTTTAAATATGGTCGATTTGCAATTTGAGGAGTAGGCCATGTTCCTGTCGATATTCATCCCATTTTTATGTCGCTTGTCGACATTTCATCTTATCTAGCTGTTTCAATAACGTGTTGCTTGTTGGAATTTTACACCAACAGGGCCTCTAGGATGTGACAATGAGATTGAATACAAAATAACGACTTTGCAATTATGAGCAAGTCATGCCACAGGCAGCTTGCTCCTTCCTGTTGATAGCTGGCACATAAAAAGACATCAAGGAAAAGGTTGTCACCATAACAACCATCTGAAGCATACTTATCCCTGTACTTAATCTCCTACTCCTAGCTCAAGTTCCCTTATGATATGACAATTTATTGCCTCAAAAAGTCTTGCTTCATCTAACCACCGGAAATATTCAATATCTTCTATAAAATGTTCCACTTTGAGTAGCAATATTGACAGTTTTTTGCCATGTTTACAGCTTGGTGTGAAGGCAAACAAAGAGAAGTCTTACTAAGAGAGATCGACATGGAGCAAGAATTTTTTTGTAAAAGATAATCCTGTTATTTCACTCAAACCAAGCACAAGAAGATAAGCAATATACAACGGATAACCATGTTTATGCTTACTTGTCTGTAAAAAAAGGCATTGCAGTGGAGAGGAGCTGAAGTAACTTAGTATATTATAAACTGTATTTCATACTGTGGTGAGTGTAAGCAGGCGCACAAGACAATGCTGTCAAACTCGAGCAACATCTACATGCAAGCCAACTCCACTTCCTCTCCACCTCAATGAGGACACGAAAGTAAAAATCTGACAATTTCCCCACAACAGCACGCAAAATATGACGATCAACCTAAAGCTTACCTCTCCAGGCTTGTTATAGGTGATACAGTTATTAAACATAAGACGAAAATCATCAATGCACTCTTGACTACAAGTGTACTCGTGGTTTTCTAGCTTTTTCTTGATCTTAGACATGTCCATGGGCTGTTTTATGATGGTGTAATAATCCTGAAAGACCACAAGATCTCAATCAACAACAGCAGTTACTCACAGAGTAAGAGAAGACGTAAAATACTCTGAATTTCAGATCATACTAACCGGCAAATTTAATTTCACGGCGTCCACCGGTTCGTGAAACGGCCAGGCATATGGATGTCGCCACATTGCTTTCATGATCGTTTTCGACAAATACTGCAGTTGGTTGGTGGTGCGATAAGTTTTAGGCTCTTGCCCGGCAGTCGGTGTTTGGGCCATTCCTCGCTACAAAGGACATACAAAACAGAACAACAGTTCCAGCAGAATTTATTTGACTTTCCTGTGTTAACAAATATTTAAATCTAAGTCATTTATTTAAATTTTAGGACGCTTCTCTCGAGCAAAAGCTAGCGAAGTACTATGAAATGGATTAGAGTAATATTTACCACTGTTTGTTGTTCAAAATCGTCGTACTTGTGGGATAAACGCCTTACTCGCTTCCCGAGCCCCTCAGGGCTAGTCTCTGATTGTAATCCATTCAATGAATCGACAGAGTTACGTTCATAACTGAGACCAGACTGTAAAGCTGCGCTGGGCCTAGAGGTGATGCAATACAACCTCGTCAATTTTGCCCTTTAATTTACCTAACTAGCCTCCAAGATAGCACAGAAAAGTGCAAATTAACTTTAGAGATGGTTTACGCTAGTTAAGGAGAAGTCAGAATGTCTATGTGAATGAGAAAAAAGTCCGCGTCACTTCAACGCCATCTTACGATGCCAACGCCATTTTGGCGGTGCCACGCACAACCATTCACGAACGAAGATCACAATTCACAAGCCCAAGAACCCAATAATAACCGGACCATACCGTTCGATAAGGTTCGTTAGAGGGTTCTGCAAGCTTTGGATTGTCGGATGGCCTTGCGTTTCCATGCACGGCGCAAGATTCTTCGTAAATTCCGCCTTTCTTCAAGGATCCGTCCGGCTCGCTACAGAGCGAAAGCCGCCCTTTTGAATTCTCGAACGACCCCCAGCAAAGAGCTTACCGGACACGTCATAATTTATAGTCACGTGGTGTACTCAGCGCGCCAAAACACTGAGTCATTCAAGTTTTTGTTGACAAGCGATTTTTCCTTCCAACTCGGGGCCGGCTATGTGCTAGCGAAGATGCGTATTTGAACAATTTTTTCCCTACTCTTTACATCGAGGAAATAAGAGAGACTACCCTTTGATCTGAGCAGTCGGTCTTCTGGAATTGCTCTCTCAATTTTTTGACCAGCGATGTCCGGTGAAATCGTTCACATCCAAGGTTTGACACTTACATCGTTCAAAACACGTTTAAATATGCAGAAGACTGACTAAGAAATTAGCTGAAGTTACCTTAACAAATACTGCTTTGCTACCCCTTGATCCTTCAGATTTTAACAGGCCATTAAGGAAAAGATCTAGACCGGGGGGAAAAAATAAACTTGCATCTATGGATCACGCAACAAGAACGGATCTAAATGCTTGTGTGGATGATGAATAACGTATTGAAATTTTCTCACGTGTCGCTGAGATTCTTTCATTCATCTGTAACAATTGAATGTTCAAGAATTCCAGAGCCTCTGACCGTTCCCGATCCATAAGCGATTGTCCAAACCAGGCAGCACTCACGCGTGACAGGATGGGACACAGATGTGACTGACATCTCGTGACAAAATCACGAAAATGATCATGATGTAATTTCGCAGAAAACATGAATACGGTCATAACATGACAAGTCTCAAAATGGAATATCCTGGCCAACGCTTAATCCTTCATTTTACGTCTTCAAAACACTGCAATTTCTTTGAGGCATATCCCTTCTTGTATAACAGTGTAAATAATTCATCTATCACACGCCTGCTTTTTGTTGATTGAGTGATGCGAGTGAAAATTTAGTGTTATATCGCTCCTTTCATTTACTTCCTCGTGGTTCTTCACTCCCAAACAAATGCTCTAAGTTTTCCATGATGCAGACGTTGAATTTAGCCGCTGAATTCAAATGTAGTGTTGTTTTCAAGTCAAAAAAAGCCGGCTTTGCCTTCCTTGCTAATTTGGTTGATTGTCACTTGCGCGCGCAACTGAATAATGCAAGACTTAGTAATTTATGCAACAGAGAGCCACATGCACGGCTACCAGCCCATGATCCCAATGTAAACGGTCAGGTTATTAAAGGGTTTTTTTTCTTTTCATTTACTTCTTTCTTCCGGTGTGCCATTAGCCTATCTACAGGTTTGACGCTCTTAGCATGCACAGATGAATAAGAAAAAGATGCCGCTTATTTTTCTTTTCATTTTATACTCCTAAGGAAAAAGATGCCGTATTCCCA